CCCCAAAACCCCAAAACCCCAAAACCCCAAAACCCCACTCCTCTGCAGAAGTATTGAAAAATAAAATTTAAATTGATATTATAATAATAAAATGGAAAGTATTCCAAAAACTATTGAAGAAGAGAACACCGAGATAGTCAGGTAACCTAGAACAAAATTTTAGTGCGTTCGAAATTTTTCTCCTCTAATTTGTTAAAACTTCCAAACTTTTAATGTCATATCAAAAACTAATCAACTTCTAAAATTATGACCTTGCAAATTCCTTGGCAGGAAAGATTCTTATTTAAACTGAAGAGAATTAGGTATTCTTACCTCTTTAAAATCAATTTGGCATCTCAATAAATCGCATTTTCTTCTAAATACTTAAGCTTCAGACTTCTCAATATTATAATTAACACTCTTTCATGAATCCAACTTAAAATTTCTGATGGATTCTGACATCGACCCCCTCCTTGTCCATCTCTAATTGTGCAGTCTAGAGAAGTCTGTCCTTACCAAAGCCAAGAAACTAGATATCAGCAGATGTCAGATCATTCTCTATAAGATTTATCCATACTTAGAAAAAATTGACCCATTGTACTCAGACTCTGAAGAAGTTCCAGAAAATAGTAAACTTTGGACGTATTTCTCAGAAACTTAAAGATGAGAAGTTTGCTCAAAGTTTTAAGAAGCTCAAATTCGTTGATGTAGATTGAGTTAATTTTAGTTTTGATGGTTCTAAAAATAAATATTTGGTTGATTTCTTAGCATCCTCATTCCCAAATAAAACTAATACTTTCTTTTTTGAACCCATGAGAGAAATGGATCTGAATAGGTCCAATTACTTAAAACCACTACTCAATCTCAGTTTTAAAGTCGTCCAACAAGTTACATTTTATAATTTCTGCATTGCCTTCTCCCAACTGAAGAGACTGGTGGCAGCTTACAAGCATGTCAGAGATTTTACATTGTACCATTGCAGTTTATCAATTCCAAGAGTTCCTAACTTTTCAAAGGCTCTTACAAATTGCAAAATCCAGCAACTAAATTTAAATGGATCAAAAGGCTTATACAAAAGTTACCGGGAGAATAACTTATATGAGTTTAAAAACTTAATACAAGGATTAGCAAGTTCTCCAGATTTAAGATCGAGTCTTAAAGATGTATATATCTTCGACACTGAAGTAAAGAAATATGAAGCTGAGCAAATCTTTGAAGCAAACAACCTTGGAGGAGTTACAATAATTGGTTTCAATTAAATTTTGCCTAAATTTTGTATTTTGCTGCATTGACTAAACGTCATAATTTTCCATATTTAACGCGTTGTGACTTGTTAATATATTTTAAGGTATCAATTAAGGTTGTGCTCATGGGGTTTTGGGGTTTTGGGGTTTTGGGG